AGGGAGAACGACTTGCTTGACACGAATCCCATCGAATTGACCTTGCCTCTCCTCAAATTTGATTGGCTGCTATCTTGACCTGAATTCGAATTCGGAGTCGAAGTCGACGAATTCGCGCCCAAAAATGTTCGGAGTCGAAAGTTCGGAAGTTCTCGGAGTCGGCCCACCCTTAGCCGCGGCTACTCGGACTCGAGTCTGAATAGCCTTCCGCGGCTATTCCGACTCCAAACTCAAATGCACGTGCGCCATCACTAAGCGTACCGGATGTGAAGCAGACAAGCAATTCGACCTTGGCCTTCCTCGGTTTCTACGACCCGGCCAAGGAACTTACAACAAATGGACGCCGACCGTGGTGACCCAGTGCGAACTGTGGTCTTTTCTTTACAAAGGATACTATTACGGGACGTATTATATGAGGTTTAGTTGAGCTTTCAAAAAATCATATTCCTTCTAGAGTCTTCCAACCGAGTTAAAACATGCTTTTAGAGTAAGAAGCATTTCAATTTCTTTGACTGGAGAACTGATGGTCGCTTTTCAATCTTGATCGACTCCAAGCCAAGATCAAGACCAACAAACAAAACAACAATACGAGACCCTTTCTTCGCCAGTGATGCTGCTCTTGTTGCTAACAGTGAATCAACCCTTCGAATAATCCTGTGTGAAGATTGAGATGGCTGGGCCATGTCAAGAGAATGGACGACAACCAGATTTCGAAGAAATTTCTCTATGGAGAACTTTCCCAGGGAAAGAGACCAAGAGGAAGACCAAAATTGAGGTACAAAGACTCTTGCAAAAACGGATAATCTAAGTTTGGAGTAAATTTTAGCATCTGAGAAGAAATAGCTGAGGACAGGAAAGCATTGAGGAAAATGATCAAGGGAAGAACTATAATGCTAGAGAGCAGCCTCAGAAACAACCAGGCTGAGAAGCGCCAATGACGAAACGAAAACAGTAGAAATGCAGAACTTCGATCCACCTGACATGCAAACACTGCGACAGAATCTGCACTTCAAACAGGAAAAATTAGCAATAAAAGAAGCTTCATGAAGACAACTCGAATAAAAAAATTCCCCTCCCCCCCCTCTCTCTCTCTCTCTCTATCTATCTTTCTCTATCTATCTATCTTTCTCTCTCTCTCTCATATTCTCAGCCC